AACTATTTCTGTTTCCTGAGATGAGCTCAGCTGGTTAGAGCATGGTGCTAATAACGCCAAGGTCACAGGTTCAATCCCTGGATGGGCCAGCCATTCACTAAAGAGTGGGACTCGATGGTCCTTGGGGATCCCTTCCATTTCAGAAGATTCTGTGATTCTGTTTAACTTTTGGTTCTAGTACCTCTGACTTGTGAAGATCGGAGATCAGTATTAAATACTGACCAGAAGCACAGAGTGTATCTTCTAGTGCCTTAACAAAAGGCTTTAATTTATTCCCAGAGAAGTAATTACTTTCAGCCAAAATAGTTTCTGGATATTTTATTTTACCCCTCTTGCTTCCTAGCATTACTGCTGACAGAACTGTGCCTCAGTAAGGATAGGCCAGATATTTTGTAAGCTATCAATTCAATTTTGTGGTCCTTCAGGTGATAACTGATGATCTTATTACATTGCAGGCTGTAAAAAGACATGAAACTCTTACAAACATAAACTTGGAGAAGAAAGCCCAGTGGAGAGAGGAAAGTACTGCATCTGCTAAACCTTAAAAGAGGAAATGAAGAGCAAGAACTGGGGAAGAAAAGCAAAGTCCTTTTCACCACTGAAAGGAAGATATAGTCACATCTTTCCTGTATGTTAGTTCTGTACACTCACATTCAAGAAAGAATGAATACATTATCCATTAATAACTAAACCCAGAAATACCTATTTTCTTTTGCTAATAACTGCCCCTTTCTTTCAAACTCTTTTCTTCGTGGTTAGTGGGACAGGACACATGAGCAAACTGGAGAGACAAAGTAATTGCTTCCCACATATGCTATGCACTAGACTAAGCATCTTTTAAAATACTGCAGAAGCTGTACTTGCATTCTTGGTACCAATCCCCTTTATGAAAGGTCTTACTTACCACTTACAAGAAGGTAACTGTGACAAAAGGACAGTCCATTTAGTTTCCACTTGTACAAACAAAATACCTTCACTGGGCAGTCATCCACTATCAGCAGCTCTTTCAGGTCCTTTCAAGGTCCCCTCAGGAAGAAGGGGGCTATAGGGAAGAATGGGGCTATATTTATTCTGTATGTTTCCCTTTGTGCAAGACAGAAAAATTATTAAGGGAGCCCTCGAGTCAGGAGTAATTGTCTGACCTGCATTAACATCATCAAAATGATCATAACTTAGCCTGCTTACCCACTCTAGGTGCAATTATTCTGGCTGCATTTAAGTGAGGGATTACTTTCTGTGAAGAACTGCCTGCCTTCAGTAAAACAAGGAGGGAGATGGATAGTGAAACAGCATTCCAGAGAACTACTGTGTTGCAGCTGACAACCTAATGGTTGTCACACCAGAGCTGGAACAGAGATGACCATTTTGAGGAATAATGTGCAACAGCTTCAACCTGTACTGTCAGATTTAGTATTTTGAGGCACATGAGTATGAGAAAGTCCATCAGGCATTCCTGCTCTCTGCTACTAAGCTTTTTTTTTTTTTCAAACCTCATTTATTTGTATTTTCCCCCTTTAAGTTGTCATCTGTACTTTCATTATACTAGCCCACCTAGAGATCACCTGCCTCATGTTTTACATGTGGCAGTCCCAGTAATACCTGCAAAGAGCAACTCCCAACAGTTCTACTTCTGGCATTGAGCCCAAAGAGTCACACACTTCATGCTGAACAGCTTGCAGCAGCCAGAGATAGTATTTTTCCTTCTCCTTACAGTTCATTTGGAAGGAAATGTAGATTGGAAATGTCAGGACTGCTCAAAACCTGTTACTTCCCAGCACTGCCTGCTCACTGGTCCTGAGGACTCCAAAAAGAGAAGAGACATATCAGTTTGACAGATTTAGCTTGTGAACTTTCTCATAGCAGGTGGGGAATTATTTTTTTTGAAACTTTTTCCAGATTAGTTTTGTTATACTACTAAAAATTAGCACTATTGCTGAGTGAATCAAAAGCCCTACAAAAATGCACGGGAAATCTTCTCTTTATACCTGGAAAAGAGAAGCAGTAAAATCTCTACTGCAGTCCTTTCTAGTAGCTTTGTCCTTTACTCCAGAGCTAGAAAATCGTTGCTGCAGGCCATCTTTCTATGAATTGCAGTTCTGGATATCACAATGAGATGTAACCAGTCAGACAAGCTGTGAAGTCAATTCAGCCACAGAAGCTACAACCTTCAGGTGATACCATGACCTGCCATCAGATTCTCTGAATGGAAATTATCACAAGTAAGCTGTCAGTCAAGCAGAGCAGGCTTCCACAGCTTTGTCCACTTAATGAGCACTGAATACAAGTCACATTATTTCCACTGCAGGTACGTGAACACATTTTCCATGACAGTTCTAGTTCTTTGCCACACAGGTGAGAACCAAAATAAATCTTGCCAGATTACATGCCAGATTACATGTGATCATGTATGTATTAAATAAGACCAAAAAAAGAGAACATGCATTTCAGATGGTATTTCAAGTTTCCTTGAAGAAAAACTTGTGATTTGTGCTTGGTGATGGCAGAGCTTAAAACTGTGTGTTCCAAAAATATTACCCTTTCAATATGCACCTGAGTGCTCTTTTGAACAGAACTGGAAGGTACACCTCATTGGAACAGTAAAACTATTTGGACTCATCCAGCTGGTAAAGTACTTCAAATAAAAATGTGCAAAATACCCCTTAGAAAGCAACACCTCAGAGCAGCAATGGTAATCAGTTTTCCATTTTACTTAAATTTCTATAAGCTTTTTACCATTTACTCAAATACTGAAGTCTGGTCCAGTGGTTTGACAAAAGCTCCATGTATCTTTCTGTCACTCTAGTATCTCCACCATTTCAGTATCTGTCATAAAAACTGTGCATCACTGCCCACCTTCGTTTTCTTTCAGCTTCCACATAGGCTCCAGAGTCTCAAACAAAACCCCAAGACAATGAGCTTTGTGCTGTCTCCAGCTCACTCCCAAGCATTGCAGTATTTTCTTTGCAAGTAGCTGGGTACTAGAAAAACGATGTAGATCTTTCTCAGAGAGGCAGTGAAAGAATCCACCTCTTTCCTAGTGTGATGGCTTCCAAGAAAGCACTTCTAAACACAGACAATGGTGACAAAACCAGCGTGTTTCTAGCTGAAGCAGCCTGTCCAGCTGACTGGAGAACTGAATACACCTCGGATCACCTGACAGCTCACAGCTTTAGCGTGCAGCCTTTTAACAGTGTGTGATGGAGAGGAACATACTAAGCCCTTAAACAGCATTTAATTTTCTTTCCTTTGGCTTGGTCTGTAACACCATTCACATTTATTCAAAACAGTCAAATTTATCAATTCGATAAATATGCCATATTGCTGTACCTCTTCCAAAGGCAACTGAAACTTCCAAATGCAATGATCAATCTGACAACTTCAGCACTGCCTCAGAAGAGCATGCCAGGAGCCTTATGGACATGGCCACAGCAGTACACAAACAGGCCCTGTTTATTTTCTGCTACGACTAAGGCAACTGAAGAAAGACCTTCATGTCTAAAATTGGCATTGGAGAGTACCAATGGCGTGTTGTGCCAATTTCCAGAGACAAAGAAATCATACTGAAAAATGTGAGGAATTACTTTAAGCTGGCAGAGAGATAAGATAGCTGTTCTGGAAATCCTCAGAGAAGAACAGAGGTGTAATAGCAAGAGCACTGTCACATGTAGGACCATCTAGTTCTTCAACACTCTTGGTGCTAACAGAAAAAAAAATGCAGTTTCAAGAACACACAGGTCTTTGGGGGTCATTGTCTTCCTCCATTCTCCTAATGTTAGAGGAAGGGACTTGAACCACCAGTATTTGGTTTGCAGCAAGGAACCAACACAGGAATTAAAGAACAGGCTGAAGTCTGTAGGCAGCAGTTGCCTCAAATAATTATGTGGTGTCTTCCCATGAGCCCCAAGCACTGGTCCTGGCTTAGTTATTGAGCTTTCAGTAACCTGACCCATCATCTCTTGTATCCTCCTGAATCCAAGAGAGTGACCCTGCCTGCTGTGTTCCACTGGGAAATTTACCAACAAAAAAATAACTCCTGTTTGCTGGCCCAAGAAATAGGCAACTTAAATGGCATTACTGATCTGTGGTCAGAACTGCAAGACAGCAATTCCAGGCAGTCTTGCATCTTCCTTTCTCTAACACCCAGTTTAAAATAGACATTGTTAAAACCTGAGTGCAGTGTTTCCACCTCATTACTGATGTTGCAGAAAGAACTGGAGAAATTTTCATGAATCTTTTCACCTTAGCAGTCTGCGGGGCTTTTGGAAGGTGCTTAGATTGGATCTCCACAAGTAGACAGAAAGAAATGCACACGTTGCAATTTGGAAGAAAACACGAGATCACTTTTCTGGCACTAGAGGCTGCTTGGCAGAGCTAAGAGAAGAACCCAAGAACTCCCAACAGTTCCCTCACCTATCCTCTACGCAAGAGCAGCTGCCTCCTATGTAGGTACAAAACAACAACAGATCATACAAAACACAGTGTGACCATCACAAAAGTGGCAGCTGGAGCCGTTCTCCAAGATGGTCCCTGTCTGAGCACATCCTTCAGGAGAGCAAAGAATACTGGCTTCAGTGTTTCTAGCAGGGGACATAGCTACACAGAATTGTGTTAGGAAGTAGTGTTCAAGCAGTAACATATAATGATCCTCATCTTTTCAGCAGCACTTTTCCTCCAGAAGAGAGTCCTCACCTGTGGCCTGGATGTTATTTATTAGAAGGGTAACGTTATGCCACATATTTGGGTCTGCTAAAATGCAAATAGTTTACTTGCCCTTGGCTTGCCAAGTAATTCTGATTAGTCTGCATCATTTCTTTCATAATGCACAAGTCTGATCTCCCTTCCGTACCCATTTAATTTGCAGCCTTTGTTAGAAGCAGATTTTGTTTCTTTTCAACCTATTAAAAAGGCTAAGTAAAGCAACGCCGAGACTGGTTGCTGGAAGATCCTGATGGAAATACACTCAATTAAGCACCATTTAAAATTACATTGAGACCTATGAGTTAGCCACATTTTAATCCATTTAATGTGTGCCATGTTGATTTTTGTATTGTTGTGGTTTTCGGTCAAAATATTATGCAGTACCAGTCAAATGCCTTACACAGTCCAAGTATTTATGACAACAATATTACCTGTGTCAACCAGGCCTGTCACTTCAAACAAACATACCAAGTTTAAAGATTTATACTTATCTGCTCTGAATTCACATATCCACAGCAAAAGTAACAAATAATGGCCAGGCTCCTTACAGAGGAAGGCACACCATTCAGCTTAAATGGACTCTTTTTTAATTCACTCATTTAGAGGCAACTGTCATTACGTTCTTGGGGGGCAGGGGAGGGAAACGCCAATGCACCACATTGTTTTCACTAGCCTGGAAGAGAAAACACTTATATATATATAGATATATAGGTATGTATATATATATACACACACTTTATGCATGTATATATATATATATATATATGTGTGTGTGTGTATATATGTATATATACACGCTAGTGTATATATACACAGAATATACATATATGAATATACAGAATATATGCACACACACTTTGCTCAGATTTGTTTACAAAATATGTAGCATTTTTATACCATCCAATAAGAGGTACATGGTTTTAAACAAATCTTATAGAAATGACATGTTATTGGAAATTTACACGTAAAAAAATCCAGCACAAAAAAATCCAAAAGCTAAAACAAGATTTTGCTACTAATCAGTGCTTCTATCACCCTTCAAGAAAAGAGAAACACAGTTATTTATATGTGATGTAAAGGCAACATTGAGGGGTTTTTTTGCTTTTTTAAATTAACCACCAAATTTAACCCCCTAAAATTACAAAGAATTGAAGTCCATTTACAGATCAAGTGCAGTAAACTAAATGTTCCTTCAGCACAAAGCAGCACTAGAGAAAATAACTGGGAGAGGGGAAGTGGAGGCCAACTGGCTTAGCTAGGGAGGCAGCAGGTGGCTTCTGCAGTGGCCACACAGGTCAGAGTCTCCATCCTGAAGCAGAGACAGAACTGAAGACTTTATTTAAATAATGGTCACACAGAGCTGATGTTCAGGCCTTTGCCTAGCTTCTTTCAGCAGTATGACAAGTGATTTATGTATTTTTATAACTGTATCCAATGGGCTGGTTTTGCTTTTGCAGTGGCTTATCACTGAGAGGAGTCATGAGGATCTTGCAGACAGTTCTGCCACTAACATTTACCACAGGTCCATGACGCTGCAGTTGGCAGTGGCGATTTTGAAATGTTTACATTGGACAAATGTGTGTTCCAAGCATCCAAAATGGCTTGAAAGAACATAGCCTGATGCAGGGGGGAGCGGACGGCCTAGGGAATCCATTGCATTTTTCAAAATGGAACTGCCACTTTCCATCACGTGGCATCTCCCCAGTTGTGTGAAGAGTTTGGTGTCAGTGTCAGCTGAACTCAAGTGAGGAGTGGCTGGCCTTTGCATCAGAGGTCTGTGATCCAAGCAGGTTGCGGAGCCAAGAACATGCTGCTAGCAGAAGGGCAGTCCACAGCTGCAAGTGGCAGCTGTCATGCAGTCAGCGATGCCTTACAGATGTCACCTGTAGGAACCATGCGTTCCATGCTAATTCACCTGAAGTCTCATAAACAGCAAAAGGGAAAAATGAAATGAGAGGGCCAGGTGGACCCGGCTGTAATAGTACTATCCTTTGAATGTAGTGTCACTTTAGTTGTTAAATAAGGGGCTTGACCAGGAGGACTCTATTCCATCAGGTGAGTTGGAGAGGAAGCTCTTGTCTTGTGAAAATGAAAAGGAGATCTAATGCTCCTTGTGCTAAGTTTTACAAATTAAGATTTCTGTGTTCGGAAGGTAATTTTTCAGAAGACAAATCTGTTCAAGTCACGCTGTGTAAAAATGTGAAGAGGCAGAGAGGAGTTTTTCAGCCATAACTATAATAACAAGGACCAGACTCTGGAGCATGAAGTCAGAAAGGACTTGATTTTTAAGGAAGGCCCGGCTGGATCATACTGTGCTGGCAAGCAGAAGTGAGGGCAATTTCTCCATTCTAGAAGCTGCTTTGGAAACTCGTTTCTGGGGAGGTGATAAGAGTGACCTATTCACAGGTTCTTTTTTTGTGGATGGAGAGGAAAAACTGGGAAGGTATACAAATCTCCACAGTGGTCTGCAATCCAACTTGGGAGCTCAGTGTTGAGACGGGATGGGGCCAGATGTGTTCAATATTCTTAAGAACCACAAAACATGTCCATTGCAGCCTGTTGTTGCACGGGATAGAGAACTTACTCCATTATTTGTAACATGTTCCTCATGCCAATAACCCCAGCTGGCACATACAGCAAAGTAGATAACGCTGCATGTGAAGGTTTAATTCGTCTCTCGCCGCTATCCAAAGAGGCATCCAGGGGAGAACATGGGGGATGAATTCAGCTACGTTCTCAGAAAGGCTGAACATCTCCCTGGACTGCAGGCACATACTGCAGCAAATACAAGAGAAAAGCAGACAGCCTTCTCTTGGATGCCAGGAGCGTGGGGGCTAGTGGATGAGGGACTATTTTCCCGTAAGAGGAACAGGGAATATCTCAAAGTATAGAAAGGTGCCTCAACTCCACGAAGATGACAGTGGAGAGATTCAGAATCTAGAGGAGAAGGGTGATTCTGGTGACCCCTTGCCAAGGAGGGGGCATCCTGCCATGGAGAGCCAAAAGTTTTCCAGACGTATGTAAGAGCATGTGCACGAGGCAAGCGAATGAGCGCAAACAGGGTTATGGAAAACATTGAGAGAATCACTCCACGGGTGGCTTGTGGCTCGACAACAGGATTGGCTACGTAGAGGAGCACACAGCACAGGGGCACCTCAAAGCTGGAAGCCTTCCATGGGAGCCTCACACTGCTGGAAGATGTACTGTTGCTGGTTGATGTCCACTTGTGGGGCAATGCTGCTGTCTTCATCCTCTGTTCCAAAGTAGTGCTCAATCAGATCAAAGGCCTTCTGATAAATCTCTTGATTCTCATGGCTCTGCAAAAATTCAATCTTGTCCAGGCCTGCAAAGAAAAGAAGTACATAAAAGTTATAGCTCAGTGAAAGCATATGACCATGACAGTTTTCAGTCTGCTGTGAACACTTACATTCGATGACAACTGTCTCCAACCTTTGGAAAGAACACAGTACTCAACTTGTACTCTCCACAACCAAGGAAAACCAGGTTGAACTACAGAGTTCCCTGTAACTGTGTTACGTGTTTCGTACTCTCTGTCTACCCTTTCACCCAAAAATTAAATCCACAGGCTTGAATGGGTAAAGACAACCAAGGCCTCAAATTCAAAGACTTTTTCTGAAGAGACTTTTGGGACCAAATTTCCTGAAAGTGTGTTCCCAGTGCTTTCCTTACAAGGACCATGACTACAAAATCACTCAAGTGCAAGTTGAAAGAGACTTCTGATAATCATCCAGTCCAACCTGCAACCCAGCCCAGGAGTACTAACCAACACCAGATTAGGTCTGCTGCGTCTAGACGGGTATTCAAAACTTCCAGGGATGGAGACTCCATTATCTAATCTGTATCCCATATATATACAATGCAGTTAAACTCGGGCAACCAGTTTTTGGGGAGGCATTAAGCAATTGGGCAAATTCAGGCCTTGTAGTTAGATACAAAGGAAAATAATACAGCAAGGAATGATGCTATAACAAAATCCAAGTGTTAGCCATTTTAGTAAATCTCTAATATTGGGAACTGTACTAGCTTTCTTGTCTACTCCTTTTACTATGTATGAAGACTAGAGTACACAATTCTCTGATACTATATACACATTCCTGAAACACTGATATGAAAAGGGAAGTTGAAACCTAGAAGCAGGCAAGAAAAAATCCTATTCTGATATAACTGTTCCCAGGAAGTCAAGGTAACCATGAAGGGAACCAAGGTTCAAGAAACCATGTTCAACGATGCTATCTTCTTCTATACTGCTCTTGATACCCATTTTTATTTTTCTTAATAAGAACTTAAGAGCAGCAGTAGCTCAGAACTGTGATGAAATCACACTGGTACATGCCAGAACCTTAGCATAGCAGAGGCAAACAAGGAATTTGCAGCTGCTGCCATAATTCTGCAGGGCAGCAGAAAGGGATGGGGGAAAGGTTTGAAACCTGAGCAACAGAGCACTGCACCTGAGCTTTTATCTGATATGACTGAATGACTCCCAGAAGGCTTTCTCAGGGACAAAAGAAATCAATAAAAGAAAATCTGCACACACTGTTTTCAGTCTACACACAGTCAAAGATAACGTAAAAAAATGGAGTACACTGAAGACTTATCAAAGAACAGGTTATTTTCAGATAACAGTGATAAGGTAATTAATGGATCTGCTGAAACTCTAATGGGATCATGATCTTGGCTTTATGGCCTGACTTGCTTAGGTGTTTTGCTCATACCATACGCTTCTTCAATAAGAGCGCAGTAAGGATTAATGCCAGTGCCGCTGCGTTTGGATTCCTGCTCTCCAAGCCTCAGGATATTCTCCAGCCCGTTCAGTGCTACTTGCACGATCTTTGAGTCCATTACTGTAAGGAGGTCGCAGAGTGGTCTGATGCATCCCAGTTCTACTAAATACCTGAAAAATACCATATGGAACCCAGTTAATTGTCTGCAAAATTGTAATTGGTGTAGCCATTTAAGCACTTAGTATGAAGGTCTAAGAACCAAAGCAATCAGATAAAATATCAACTTGACTGGAGAAACCAAAATTACAGACATCTAGTTGTGTCTAGTCAATTCTGCTGAAACAAACAAAATAACTTTAAAATACCTTCTCTGAACTCTCATTTATGTAGCTATGAAATGACGACTTATTTTTTGTACCAGAAATTTATATTTATATAAACAGCAACTATGTTAAAAGTTAATATGTTTATAAAGTTATTTTATTTTATACAAAATTGCATATAAGCATAATGTACCAGTTTAAGTTAAACAGGAAAAGCAATACACGTGATGCTACTGTCTGAGGTGCCAAACTATTCCTCTCCAGACTGCTAATGCACTTTGTTACATTCTACAACAACCACTTAGAAGTTAGTTTAAAAGTTGCATTTAGTTTTTTCATGTAAGAGAAATGGTTCAATTATTTAAATAAGCATTCCAACTAAAATCCTCTTGTGATTTCTCCCTAAAGGAATGAAAGGCTCATTCACGACAAGGACATGGTCTCTCTGGATACAACACTGAAAGCATACAGAAAGGTTTTCCAGTTTCTAGGTTGATAGTTTGTTTTCTTGCACAAACATCAATTCACATGTTGCATTGCAACATGTTAACAATTTCTTACTTGATCTGTTCAGCAGAGCCTCCAGATGTTGCATTTGTGATTGCCCAAGCAGCTTCTTTCCTTGTCCGAAACTCAGCCGTTTGCAAAATATTTATAAGAGCTGGGAAGATATGGGCATCTATGACTGTCTGCAAAAACAAATGACACGTCAGGGTTATAATAAAAATTAGAAATAACTTTCTTGTCCTGAGCTAGTTAATGTCTATGCTCAGCACAACACACTAAACAATGAAATGTCACTTTATCAAGGGGCAAAACCGATAAATCAGTTTTCAGCTTTACATTCAAAAGTCCAGTTATTGCCATGGTTTGTGCTCATCCCAAAAGAATTCAAAACACATTCAGACTGAAGTGACTGGCATATCTAAGGAGTTACTTAATCATACCCTGACAGCAAAACAATGCTGTATTTCCCTTATTTTTCCAGGTAGTGAACCACTCAGCTATTAAGTCAGTAAACCATTAAGTAATTAAGATCCCCTAAACTTCATATTCCTGTGTGCCAACACTACATTTCCACTGGGCAAGACAACGAAGCAAAGAGAACACAAAGCAGCAGACGGTTCAGCAACAGGGTTAACTGCTTAGCTCAACAAAGTGATGTAAGTCAAATGAGTATTTGGGTAGCAACTCCTAAGTTTCTAGTAACTTCCTGTGAAAACAGCCTTCTGCAATAAGACACAAATTAAACCAGTTTTGTTACACAGATAGGATAAGGATCTGAAACACTTTCATAAGGATCATTCAAAACACCAAGAGGTTAGGATTACATTTTTAAACTACCACTTTACATTTGTAACTCATCACAGAACTGATAAAGGAAAATTCAAAGAAAGCCAAAAAGATCCTTTTCACAGAGCTCTGTAGAAGAAAACTAAGAGATTACACATAGCAAAAAGCTGTAGTCAATTCACAGGGTGAATGGCTACCTGGTGAAAATAAAACAACTGTTTGATATTTCTTTTATCCTTGCCGTTTGTCTGGACATCCATACTGAATCTGCTTTGCAAATCCACAGTGCCTATAGTTGTATCAACAGTGCCATGAATACTGTCTCCTTTGCCAAAAAATCCACACTTCTCATACAGAAATCTAGGGTCCCCAAGGAAAACCCCTTACACTTCCATCATGCCATGTTGTATTACACCTGTACACTGCTGAGAATATTTGAAAAAGTGTCCTTAACTGAAATTTTAGAACATGAATGCTGGAATTGCTAGGTCACAAACAGGAGCCAGCTATTTTAAAAACAAAACAAAACAAAACACAACCTAAAAAGATAAAAGAAAGTATCTTTAAAAATGCTTTTTGCCCCCTGACATATTTTACCACAAAAGAACCCACTTAATTTTTAAAAAGATACCAAAGCAACACACTGTAAGGGTACTTGAACACAAGAGCACCTGCTTCATTAAGGTAAATCAGATCAAGAGCCTTACCAAAGGGAGATACAAGTAACAAGAAAGTAATAAATAAAACACACAGTGATACACACGTGATAGAAGGGGGTTAAGAGAAACAATCACAAAGAAGGAAAGGCTCCAGTCACTAATTAACGGGTCATTAAGAACCTATAGGCAGAGAGCCAGCCCGGACTCGTAACTGATGACAGGGACAGGTGAAACTGCAAAACTCAGTAACGAATCTTTTCATGACTGTTTTACCATGTAAACCCCCTCTCTAGCCCCTTGAAGGCTGTAAGGATTAGGTGCTCACAAACGACATTGGCATGACTGAATTTGGGCCAGGAACTAGATGAGATCACAGGAGAAACCTGTGTCTGTGGGGCCAGCAACAGGAGTGGGTGTTTCAGCATCAGTAGCTGGAGGGCCCAAGAACCAAGGTCTCAGAAAACATGAATTTGGGGCCAGCAACTGGTGTCAAACGTCGGATGAAGGGGCCCCTAAAACTGGAGCAGGTGAGGGCCCCAGCATCAGCCACTGGGGCAGGATCATAGTCCATAGGGCCCCTTGTGCCTGGATGCCAGCAACTGGGGGACTGAAGTTAAGTGAAGATCTCAGCACCTCAGCTGGAATGGGACTGCAGGTCACAGGACCCATGGGCTTGGGCACCAGCTCTGTGTGATGAGGGAATCTACGTAACCCCAAAACATGGTGGTGGGTGTGGAGGATCACGATTTATTTAATTTGCTGGCAAACTGACTAGGCAGAGCAAGTGGGAGGCCCAGGATCCCAGGCATGGACAGGGGTCTGCAAGCATGTGCATCTGTTTGCTAGTGAGAATCAAGCTGAACAAGCCAGTGAGTAGAACCCAAGCACAGTGAGTGAAGACAGCTCACGATCCAGCCACGGACAGCAGCTGAGCAGAGAGCCCACAATGACCATCAAGAGATCTGTGACTGTGTGTGTGTGCGCTTGTGGATCTAGAGAGTGTTTTTTCACTAGTGAACTTCAGTCCTCATCAGACAGAGAGGAAAAAGAGGGCTTGTCAGTCTACATTTTGTTTTATGTGAGTCCAGAGGGCACTACACAAGGGTGTTGTTAAGAAGCTCTTAAAAGAACAATGCATTAAGGGACATCAAATATTCTCTACTGAAAGATCTTGATATAGATCTAGGATAGGATACTTGAGGGCATTAGGTTTTACTATTGTGGCAAAGAATAAGTAAAAAACATCCCATTAGCACGTCTTAAATCCTCTCCCCAAAACAAAACTTTCAAAGGAGATTTATTTCCTTAGAAAGTGTCTTCTTAAAATCAACTTCTTTAGTAACTACTAAAACCAGAGTATGTTACATGATAGCATGGAACTAAATCAGCACACCTTATCTGACAGGCTTTGAACCTTCTTACTGCCAAAAAAAAAAGTTACCTTGAAATGTTTCAACTTAAACTGGTAAAATACTACGAGAATTTCAGAATAAAGGGAACTAGCAACAGGAGGACAGTTAAGTAGAAGAAATGTAAAAGATTCATATTGTTTTTCTTCTGGCTCAATCAATTTTAAACTCTCTGTTTCAGTGCTTCAGTCAGTAAAATTACTCTTCTTAAGAGCAGAGAAATGTGCACTTGAATGTTTTCAGAAAGAACTGAATCCAGACCTCGCATCTCTTGGGTGAATGCTCTTATTTCCATTTATTTCTGTTTCTTACCCTATTGCATAAAAGGCTACGGGCACCCTGTTTACTTTCTGCTCAACAACGATGTCGACTATCTTTACCCAAGCAGAACAGGTTAAAGTACGACGATGAGCCACAGCCTTTCGTAAGTGAAAGACAGTGGCTCAAGAGAGAAGTAGATTATCAGTCACTATATTTTTATGTTTCCTACTGCTTGACATGCATTGTAAGTGCTGTCACCACCTCACTCTAGCATGAGTCTCAGTTAAAGGTATTTAACTGTCCCTCTGTAATACAGCAAAGCTTTTCAACTAGCAGTCTCTCAACAGTTGAAACTTTCAGAGTTCAACTTTAAGGAAAAAAAAAATTAACTAGGTCAGAAAATGGTTTTCTTTAACCTTAATATCTTTACTAGATTTCAGAAGTCAGTTAAGCTCAGCAAGAGTGGTAACAATAACACATTAATACAGAGAAAGTGCTAGCAGCATCTATGACTTACACCCTACGTCCTGTAGCCCTGCCCACAGCAGTTACTCTGGAAAACACATTAAAATGCCTAAGGATTCCTATCTCTGTGATATTTTATGTGGGAACAACAGTTACTGTGGAAACAAGTCATGTTTCCCTTTCAGTTAAATTTCTTTTAAGTGATAAAATAGTAAATGTTGAAACAGAATTTGGTTTTGCCTTTTCTTTCTTTTTTTCTTGAAGAAAAGCAAACCTCAGGCAGAGCAAAACTCTAAAAGACTGCAACAGGATGAAGTAGTTAAAACTTCTGAGATTTAGAATGGCTTAATTCAAATTACTTCACTTTTCTACCATTCTTATACTACACGTGCCTGACGTGGAAGTATGCTGAAGACTAAAGTAATGCAGTGCATACAAAGCGCTCAAGATAAGCATGGCTTTTAAACAAAATGAACACAATTCCAGGATTTCAGTTCAACAAGAAGTTTAAAAACTGAAAGGAAATAAAGAGGTTTTAGGCTGCTACTAATAGGCACAGAGGTGGTATTTACAAAATGCAACAAAAATCTCTTTTCTGCACAATAGGTAATCCAACGCCCATCCTCTGATACGTTAAACTAACATTGAAGTTTTTGCCCAGCTGCATCCATTGGTATTTGATGGAACGGAATGGAACCCAATCTGGAGTTATAAATGTAAGTCTTTTGGAAAACTAAAATTCAATTTTAATTGAAACATGAATTTTCAAATTTAATTTGAACTGATTTGCAATGCTCAGTCCCTCAGCAAATCTGTCCTCACTTTCAAAGTGTCAACTTTTTTATGTTTATTTGGGGTGTGGGTTTGTCATTTTGGGGTTTTTTTAATAGTTGGTATCCCTGTGCTGCAGTCCTCCAAGAAGGTTGCCTGTCTTTTGGAAACATTCTATCCATCTTATTTTAATCAAGCTTCTTCACTTTACAGTGATTTTTAAAGAGTGAAGCTAGATAAAAAATGCATTTTCAGAGTTTTATTACACCTGCATGGATGTTTAATCTAAATATATTGTAATCACTGTTAGGAAGGTCTTCAGCAGCAGTATATTAAATTAGTATTTTGAGCTGGTAGTACCATGTGAATTTGCTTCTCCCTCTTCGGGTTCCCACAACTAAATCACTTAAGATATGCAAAACCACACATACACATCTAGTGTGCACATGTGGACACCATGTCTACATATGATTCATCACATAAATGTGAAGGCAAACAAGTTTTATACCGTGACCATTTCCCTGCTCCTGCGAGCTCTCTCATTACCTTTAACAAATCAAGATTACAGTCACCAGACAGCTGGCAGCTGCAAATACAGCCCTACTGCTCCTCCTGGCTGGAAATTATAGTTCATAGAGGCTGCTCAGTTACTTCTATTCAAGTTACCTTGTTTATTGATTCAATTTACAACTGCTTTATAAATAACACAGCAAATATTTGTAAGCCAAAACTATGTAACATGGTGGCATGAGTACAAAACCAACTGGCACCCGAGAGCCAGAAAGGAAGCCCTTCAGATCTCAGTTCCAATGAACTTTTACGTTGTTGACA